GCTGCTCTCTTTCATTCTCTGTGTGTGTGTGTGTGTCACTTCACATTCCTGGTTTAATTTCCCTGTGGGGTGTCCCTTCTGGATGTGGGCCGGCGTATGGATGGGATGTCATGGGCGTGTTCATTTTTCCTTTCTTTTCCAACCGAACCCCTGCATGACGGGAGGTTTGGGGAGGCGAGCATATGTTGACACCGCAGTTTTCTTTTGCATGGAGTGTGTCATAAATTCATATTCATCATTGTAACATGAAATATGATGTCACAAAAACCCAAATGCGTCAAGAGTTTAGAATTAACTCTATGTACGTTTCAGCTGTGTTTAAACTGAAGTATCAGTTCTATTGGTTGACTCAGAGTGCCCTCTGCAGTTTAAATAGCAGGCATAAGTCTGAAAATATATATTTCACTTTTCCAAAATTATCCATTTTGCCATTTTTGTTACTGTATCATCAAAAGCATTGGTCCCACTTTATATTAAGTGGCCTTAAGTACTATGTACTTGCATCAAAATATAAGTACAATGTGCTTATTGTGTTGATACTGTATTGCAAAACACATTTTGCTGCTATTGAGGCGGGATATCATACGGGTGAGGTTAGGGACAGGTTTGGTGGTTAAGGTGTAAGCGATGGGTCATCAGTGTAGAAATGTAATTACAGAAATTAATCACAGATGTAATTACATGCAGGTATTTTTTTTTTAAATATAAGTACAATGTAAAAACATGTATATGCACAATAAGTGCATTGTACCAAATGATTAATGTAAATGTAAGTACAAAGTAGTTAAGGCAACCTAATATAAAGTGTGACTAAAACATTTTTTAGATTATTATTATCCACAAACTGCTGAATGATCCATTACTCAGAAAGCACTTCAGAAACAGTCATGTTTGTGATGCTGGCTCGTGTTGGGCGTGTGACATCATTGGTTGCTCATGTGTTCATTTGTCCATGTCATTGTGAGTATATATAATATATAATGTCATTGAGTTTTGTAACTATTCACATTATGATGGTTTTCTGCATTTTCTCACTCTTCCTCCATCTTATCCTGCTCTGGTGGCAAATTTCTAATATCACACGAGACCAAGTGTTGCACGTGTGTTTAACTTGTTGCATGTTGGGATGGTTTTCTCTCATAAGCATGTTCTGTTCATTTCCTTCACTGTATGCATTTGCACGGGGTGAATTACGTTTCTCATTCAGCTTTACTTCTGCTGTTAAATTTAGGGCTAAATCTCACCAAAACAGCCTATCCAGGTCATAATTTAACTCAAAAAAGGACTTATTACAGGCCTCGTCCTCTTTATGTAAAATGCATTTAAACATTACTGTTATGAAATTTGACTGGGAGGCCATGTTTTCGTGAGATTCACTTGCGTAGCATTGCTTTTAGTTTTCACCATGCACCATGCTTGAGCTTCACTTACTGTTCATCCTGGCCTATAACAATGCACTTCTGGGAGGCTTGACACATTGTCATTGGTTGCACTGTTTAAACATGAAGTGACCACACAGACGTCACTTTGTCGTGTCTGGACGCTGGAGCCATTGCGCAGAGCAGCTTGAGTCATAGAGTTGATTCCCGCAGTATCAGCAGAGCTTCAGTAACACCCTCCAGCGCCTGCCTGTGGCCTTTGACCTTTCCTCTTTGAGCCCTGGGCAGCTTGGCTCCCTTGCGTCCGGTCCACTCTGCTCCGATCTAACCTCCATTTTTGTTTCCTCTCCACTCAGCCTTAAAGAAGAATAATATTACTAAATTTCCCAATGTGCACTGGAGGGTAAGGAACTCTTCCAGTAGTACCCCAGTGGATGCTACTCAGACCTGGCAAGCATCTCTCTCTTTATTATTATTTGTCTTTTGTTCTTCTCCATCCATCGTAGATCAGTTGCTTTTGACACAAAAGCCATCTTTTTCTGTTTTCATTCTACTTAACACACATCAGGCCTATTGAGTTCTGACCCTCAAGGGCCGAGTCTCCAGGTACTCATGTCCATCACCCTGTTGAACTGATTTCATTTGTAAATTAGTTTGATTAGGTGATGCCGTGACCCGAGACACGGAGACTCTGCCTGCATAGTCTCACGTTGAACTGATCCACACTTAGAGATAGTTGGGTTTTCATTAGTGCCATTAAAAACTGGAGTTAAGCTTCTGTAGTAGGTACATTGTCCCCAAAACACTTTAAAAAATGTCAGAATGTCAATGCATTATATATGTGACCCTGGACCACAAAACCAGTTATAAGGGTCAATTTTTCGAAATTGAGATTTATGAATCATCTGAAAGCTGAATAAATAAGCTTTCCATTGATGTATGATTTGTTAGGATAGGACAATATTTGGCTGAGATACAACTATTTGAGAATCTGGAATCTGAGGGTGCAAAAAAATCTAAATATTGAGAAAATCATCTTTAAAGTTGTCCAGATGAAGTCCTTAGCAATGCATATTACTAATAAAAAATTAAGTTTTGATATATTTACGGTAGGAAATTTACAAAATATCTTCATGGAACATGATCTTTACTTAATATCCTAATGATTTTTGGCATAAAAGAAAAATCGATAATTTTGACCAATACAATGTTTTTTTGGCTATTTCTAAAAATATACCCAAGCGACTTAAGACTGGTTTTGTAGTCCAGGTTCACATATAATATACAAAACATGGCATTTATACTTGTCTATTTGCAGACAAGCTGAGTCACTCATTCTGCAGGTTTCATAAATATGCCAGTAGGTGGCGATAGGCGAAGGTCATTGAATCATTCATTCAGACAATTTGTTCAAAAACACCGATTCAGTCAGACACATTATTGTGTATATCTAAAATTTGTTGTGCAAAATTCACATCTTGTTACTAAACTCCTGTGTTTTCCGCAGTCAGTATCTGTGATTATCTGCAGCTAAATCACAGCCTCTTGCTTGTGTAGCATAGACTAAATTATATTACAAGGAATGTTTTACAAGGTTAACAAATTTTACGTTTTTTTTTTTTTTGAAGCCTACTTTTACATTGCAGCACACTCACATTTAATCGATTCTCTGGTTACTCTGCTAAGATAACGTGAGGATTAATTGACTTACATTTATGCATTTAGCTGACACTTCTATCTAAAACAACTTAGACTGCATTTAAGGAATTCCTGCTTTGCCTGGGAATCAAACCCATGACCTTGGCATTGGTAGTGCCATGCTGTACTGTTTGTGCTAGGAATACTGTACATCTGTTAAAACCTCCACAACACACGTTTATTAAAAGTCTTTGTCATAGAACAAAACTAAGGTACTTCCTGCAGCGTTTGAGCACGAGATAACACTTGTTGTATTATATTTTGTCATATAATGCAGTGACATTCAGACATTTTATGTGCGATTTCAAATACATTTCGGGGCCACTGTTAGTGTTTTCCCAACAACCTTGTTGAAAACAAGTTCCTAAAAAGAGGCAAACTCCATAGTTTCCTTTCCCATTTAATTCTGAAGCTGAAAAAAAGTACTTATTCCAGTAAAAACTCAAGCTGCTTTGCCCAGTTGACCACCAGCATGTCCAGAGGATCTAAACTCAAATACTGACATCCTTTTACTCTGTTCCTCCTGCATCAGATCTGAGAAACCAGCCTTACAGGCGCGCTGACGCCATCAGGAGGAGCATTCGAAGACGTTTTGATGATCAGAATTTGCGGCCAATGAACAATGCAGAGATGGTCATGTGACGAGGGCAGAGTGGATATGATTGGATGGGCTGGAGGAGGAGCTAATGAAGGACTGATGAAGATGACAGCAGGTCTGAAAGCCAAGTGCCTACATTTAACATCTGTCCCATCAGGTGTTGAATCATACATGTGTTTTAATCAGTGTCTTCTGTCTGTGAATTTTTATATGACAAACGATGTCTTGATCTGTCTTTTATCTTATGGTGCTTCAAGTGTATGGCGAGATCAGTGTTTTTCATGAGAAAGTGTCTGAATGTAAAACTATTCCAACACTTGATGTATCATGAACCTGTACAACGGTTGCATTCATACATTCCAGTGCTTTCGCCACAGATCAAAAAAGGAGGCGTGCTTTTTTTCTTTTTTTTTCTTCAAAATCTACTTAAAGAAGTCCTGTAGTGTCTGTCAGAGCCTGTTTTTATTGTGGCGTTCACATGGCATTCGTGTTAAAAAACAGATAGATAAAGCCCAACAGAATGGAATACAGGTTGAGAAGCATTTGAAACGTTTAAAAACTTCTGTAAAAGTTGTATAACATGTTAATGGCTTGAGAGGCTGTAGGGTGTGACAGTGGACAAAGATAACAATAATAACATTCCTGATTTGAAGGTATTTAAATGTGTTGTTCTCAAGACACACACCTGTGGTCTTGTCCACTTGAGGGCATGTGTACACAACAGGAAGACTGTCCCAGGTCTGAAAATGCCAAAGCACCACAATTAAGTTGTCATCTGAACAGTCATTTACAAGTTTGTTTTTAAAGTGCAAAGTATTGAAAATCAAAATGTGTAAATAAAGCTCTGTAAAAACTGTGTTGTGTGTCCCATTGAGTAATCAAACATGCCACACTGGTTACCCAATGGGACACACTTGGGACCTACAGTCTTCACGCCCACTTGAAAACATGGGCCAAATACAGGAAATACCAACGCTCTCTCACGACCAGTTCGTATGAATTCGCGTATGAACTTTTACGATTTTGCATGATTTGTTTACACCCCAGTGGCAGGTATGAATTCATACGAATTGGGGAACTTCCAATACGTACGATTTAAAATACGTACGATTTAACAAAAGTCGTACACATTCGTACGAGTGAGGTCGTACGAATTAACCACTTCATAAAATATGTACAAATTGCCATGAGATCGGGTTGGAAATGGCTTTGAAGTGGTCACAAAGATCGCAAGTGTGGGTACTGGGACAAGCCCCCCTTTAAAAACCATTATAAACTAATGGCGCTTTTCCACTGCATGGTACGGCTCGGTACGGTTCACTTTTGGGGGGTTTTCCACTGGGTACAGTACCTGGTACTTTTTTTAGTACCACCTCGGTTGGGGTTCCAAGTGAACCGTACCGTTACCAAACCGTGACGTGTAAACTCTGCTGATCACGGATTGGCCGGAGAGAATCGTCACTACCTGCGTCACTGAACTTGCGACACAAACACAAAAGAACCGCTAGATTTAAATCAGCACAGCCAGCGAAGCATCGAACGAGCGCACCTTTTTTTAACAACCAAAAAGTTTTGATGTCTGTTGCGGAAGAACAGACGTTCCTCTCGTTGATAGCAGAGGAGCGGATCCAGCGAGAGCTTGATGGGGCGATGCGGAATGAAAAAGTTTTTTTAGGAGTCGTGGTAGTAGAGGCGGCGCAACTATAACGACATGTGAATAATCCCGCCCACTCTAAAGTGGTACTGAACTGCAGTGGAAACGCAAACCGTGCCGAGCCGAACCGTGCCATGCCGCACTGAGCCGAGTCGCACCACGCAGTGGAAAAGCACCATAAGAATAGTCAGTCATCTGTTGGACTAATTGACATCCTGGTCCAACTCTAACCAGAAGGTCATGGTGGAGTTACTGCAGGGGGCCGTGAACGGATGTTGCACTATTGGGCCACAGAATTAGATGGAGTTCAGTTAAGTAGGAGAATTTGTAAGGAAAGGCGTGTTGTTACGTACATGGGACAAAGGCAAATGTGAAATATAAACCAGAGGCAGCAGAACTCCAGTACCTCGTGTTTCTGAAAGACTGCTGACAAGTCTTAATTAAAATGGTGCACAAGCAAGACTGCATTAGGTTTTGGTCTTCAAACTGTGGGTTGGTCAGGATTACCTAAACCAAAGTGCAGAAAAAGTCTAGTACTTCTGCAGCCTTTACAAATTATGGAGTCAAGAGTCGTCGAGCATTTTCAAAAGTCCGTTGACTAATTAATGTTCCATGTTCAACACAGGTGAAGCTCTGTGCTCTGCCAAAATCTTGTTTACATTAAAGCACTTCCAATGAAAGTTTATGGGGCAAGGCATTGCGCAGGAACAAATGTAAAAGTACAGTTTTTAAACTAAAACCTCAAGACTTAATCCATGTTCACTTGACTACTGTGGTTTTAAAACAGAGAAGTATTTGATTCTATCAATGTTGTCTTCTGTGCTCTGCAAAAATCTTGTTTACATTAAAGCACTTCCAATGAAAGTTTATGGGGCAAGGCATTGCGCAGGAACAAATGTAAAAGTAGTTTTTAAACTAAAACCTCAAGACTTAATCCATGTTCACTTGACTACTGTGGTTTTAAAACAGAGAAGTATTTGATTCTATCAATGTTGTCTTAACCAGCAATATAACACTCTTGTCAAGACCGTGTAACTGGATGACTTTGTCAGAACAGAAGTTACCAGAGTTAACATAACCAGAAGTCCACAGTAGTCTCTTTGCTAAAATTACAAAACACGTCAGCTCAAAAGTGCTTTAACAAAAATATGAATGTCTGCATTTTAAACCTTTGTACACTTGCTCAGACTTCCATTGGAAGTGCACTGACTGAGGTCAATGGAATATTGTATTTAATATGGAGTCTGTGGTAATCGACACAGATGTTGTTTTGAACACAGAATATTCCTTTATGAATTTTAAGCACTTGACAACATAATTGGTGACATTGGCTCTTGTTCTTCATGCCACAAGATCAGGTTCCTGCTAGAATTCAGTTGCTGTAACTGGGCTGGTTTTGTGCATTCTAGGTCTGATAATGGGAAATAAGACCTGTTATATAAACTGAATTTTGTGTGGTTCTATAATGACCTGCACAAATGAAAATTCACATTTCTTGAGACGTGTAATTCTATTTAAAAGCAAAAATATAAAATCACACACAAAAAAAGTGTTTGTTAAATGTACAGATATTTTGCTATAACATTGTTGCATCTTTTTAACTTTTTTAATCTCCTAATATTGTACATAGTTTAAAAACAATACAGTTTAAAAATCATTCTGTACTACAACATTTGAATATTTATAGCTTTTTCTTTTTTTTCCCCTGCATTTTGTATATTTAATAAAAGTGAAAACCTGAACCAGGTCTTTTAGACATGCTGCCACATCCACCTTCTAACATGCCAGAAATTGAACTGGATTAAACTGGCATTTTTTCCCCTGAAATCAATGTATCTTAGGGATTGAATGCTTACAGTACTGCAAAAAATATCTGTTCTCAGATTTAAAGTTAGATGATGTCCAATTAAACTATTTACACAATGCTGGTCTTCTGTGTTGTTCTTGAGCGAGTGAACAGAAGTAGGATGTTGCCTCCAAAAAAGCCTGGTGCTGAAATTTAAGGTTGAGATCCAGGCTGCAATGCAAAGATTACAGAATATCAAGTCGATGCATTTTCACAGAATAATAGACTTGAGGCCTGTTGCATAAAGCCCATTTCTGTGGCTTCCCAAGTAAATTAGAATTTGGTTTCATGCGTATTTTTTTATCAAATTAACATGTAAATAACTTTGAATACTGCACTTTGACTAGGCTTCTGTGAACAGTAAATCCCGCCTTCCTTTGATTTGATTGGCCAGCTGAGAAGTACAATATTTTTGCAACACTAAAGTAGCCTACAGTTATTACTCAAACTCTTCTTCTATTGTTTTTCGTCAGGCTATACGCCACCGTCTCTTGCTTGACTAGCGTTCTGCACGTGCACAATTGAACACAAAAGTTGTCACCAGCTTTTGCATAGTTTTATAGCGTCTCAAATCACACCTGCCTACAGATGTGCACAGGGTGACAGGTCTGCATTTATATTATACCCTTAACACATTATATATGCAATTATAAGATTTGAATTGATAGATATTGACTATATTTATTCATTTTTATCCATTTTCTTCACTTGAATGGACAGATTTTAGTCCGAAATTGTTAGCTGACTTCTAAAACCTCAGTGGCAGTTTCATGATGATCTGAAGTTACTGAAGAAAACATGATTAACAAAAAGATCACTGCAGATGAAAATGAGCAGGTTTGGATCTCCAGAGAACAGAGCAACAAAAAAGCATTATTTTATAGTTTATTTGTCAAAATTCAAGTTGAAAACAATGCTGCAGACATCTGTCATACCGAATCCAAAAATGGCTTTCAGACAATCTTACAGATTCATCTGAAGTTGAATAATAGTTGTTTTTATGTTTAAAACTATTGGCGATAACAAATATACAACTGACTAAAAAAGGGTTCTGCAGTTAAAGGCAACATAACACTTGCAACCTCTGAAAATAATCTTACAAAATCAACATGCCCAGATGAAGAGTGCTGATGTTCAGACAATACTGCCTCTCAGAGAGACTACATGACGGTCAATGGATTCACAGCCAAACACTCGGATGCAAAACACATTACAGGAATGCAAGTGTGAGAGAGAGACGGACAGAGAGTGATTTATGGTGCGTCCAGCTGCTCCAGGAGAGTACGCCTCCTCTTTTCCAGCTCTCCTTCACTCAGCTCGCTTCCAGATGTATCCCATCCACCCTGAGAGACAGACAGAGGGCTTCAGATCTCATCTGTGTAAATAAGACTCTACAGACACCGTCTCAGATACGATCGCTTACCTCTTCTTTTGTACTCTTTCTTTTGGGGGATTTCTGTTTGGATTCTCCACGTGACTTCCCTCTGGATTTGTCGTTCTCTTTATCCTTCTCTTTCTCTCTTCCTTTCCGCTCTTTCTCTCCTTCAGACTCAGGGGAGGCCTGCAAAAAAAAAAAAAAAAAACGTGATATTCCCCATATTGCTCATTATCCTATAATAGCCATTTAGAGTTGTACACTTTATAAAACAATGTTATTTAATGAATGCGAGTAAATGTAGCATCATAGAACTGAACATAGGAATAGACTACAGTTCTGGGTATTTAATAAACACTCATATTTAATACACTGTACATTCAATCCCAGAGACAGACACTTGTTAAATCAATAACTGATGGAGAAAGCCCTTCTTTAACAGTCAATTCAAGTAAGGTCATTTGAGATCTTTAATTATTCAATTATTATATAATATAATTATATACAAATAATTCAACAAAAATAAAACATCTCTTTTAACTAGGAACTTGAATTTTCTGTAAAGCTGCTTTGCATTGATTTGTATCTTGAAAAGCACTGAATAATGATAATTAAGTAGAGTTGGATTCAATTCAAACACAGTATGTCCTAATTATATGCTTAAATATTCTAAACAAAGCCGATCCAATGGGTAGAAATCATCAAGTTGCTTCAGTCCAGTAAGTGTTCATCTTGAAATATTACTAAAAATAAAATAAAAATATTCTTACATTTACTTTGTAAAAAAAAAACGTAAAGATTTCACAGCAAGAACTAAGTACTAAGACCTGAAGGGGGACATTTTTAGAATTATACGAAAGGCATTTTGTTTGCTGGAAAGTATAACAATTGACCTATCGGTAAGCCCCTCCCCTCGAATGCAGATGAGCCAATGACAGTCGAGTATCAGTTGCACAGGGAGCAGAACTCGGACACCTTTAGGTTTCAGCGCCATAGAGAAACATTGAAAGATCCAAAGCTCGCATCGGTTTGAAGCAGCACTATGTAACTTTTTCTGTGTTCAAAATTTGCAAAATGTATATAATGAGGGAGTACATAATGAATTCATCTTCCAAACTGCGTTTATGTCTTATTATAAGTGTACCGTAGTGATTCGGAATAAGTACTTATATTTGGACTATTGTAGCCTGGTCGGGTCGTCACCGCTGCGGAGTAACACATACCTGTGTGAATATTGAGTGAATATAGGTAAATTGTCACACTTCTCTAGTAAGTTCCGTCTGTGTGTGAAGACAGTAGCGCAAATCCATGAATGAATGTTCCAAAGTGAAACAAACTTCAACGGATTAAAGTTTGAATGGAATTGAATTGAATTGAATTAAAGTTGAATAAACTTCAACTTTACTGTTCAGTGCATTGATGTCAGACTCATTTTGAATAAAGTTTATTGTTAAATGCCCTGCCTCCATCATTACGTATCTTTGTCACGTCATTATACGTGTTTGATCACCACATTTGAGTGATCATTGCAAAAAATGTGTTTATGTATATATATATTCTGTTTATGTATATACTGTATTCTATATATAGTACCAGTCAAATGTTTGGACACACGAATGGGAAAGTGTCCAAACTTTTGACTGGTACTGTACTATAACATACACAAAGAATATCTGGCAAAAAATGTTTTTTTTTTTACTCCCAAATATCGGTATCGATATCAGCCCCAAAAAAACCCATATCGGTCGGGCTCTAGTGTGCAGTTCTGTTTATTAACCGCTAGAGCGCTAAAAGTTACATAGTGCTGCTTTAATGGTGTTTATGCTACAAAAATTGAAAAAACGATGTGCCTGCGGTGCTTGTAACACTGATTCCAGTTATCCTGAGAGGATAGGCAATGTAATTTATTTTATTCCATTTTCTAAATCCAACCAAAACAGAGCAAAATGTTCCTAAGCATTCAACCACAATCACAACGAAGACGAAAACATTCATTTTCTGATTGTCATACTCTCATTAAGTTACACTTTTCATCTGCTCAAGCAGAACATTAATGTCATCTTGTGCTTCAGCAACGTATCTCTGGCTAAAACTAGCTAACGTTAGTGTTAAAGTTAGTGAGTCCATGCTAACGTACAAACCTAAATAGCGAACTGTTCTCACGTCATGTACTATGCAGTGAAAGTCAAAAACACATAATCGAAGGTCTATATTATAGTGCCTCTCCATATTAATCTTGTTAAATGTAAATTAATTTAATCTTACTCTGCGGTATATGAATGGTGTTGATCCCGCATGCTGTCATGGCGATCGTGACGACCGTAACATAATTCTCCCATTTGCATCGTGATCTGTATTTTTACATATTTCTTTTAATATCCCTCCATGGCATATTTAAGTCCCACTTCGTCAAGTACTATGCAGTGAAAGTCAAAAACACATAATCGAAGGTCTATATTATAGTGCCTCTCCATATTAATCTTGTTAAATGTAAATTAATTTAATCTTACTCTGCGGTATATGAATGGTGTTGATCCCGCATGCTGTCATGGCGATCGTGACGACCGTAACATAATTCTCCCATTTGCATCGTGATCTGTATTTTTACATATTTCTTTTAATATCCCTCCATGGCATATTTAAGTCCCACTTGAAGGTCCATCTGTGTCCCAAAGACAACAGAAGGCATGTAACAGATGCTGTCCAACAGCTTTTTCAGCAATGGTTTGGGAACCACTGTGAGAAGCATTGTAACTTATTTTGTCCAAGTCATTACAAACTGATACAAACTAATACCTCATGAGAGATTAGTTCCGAGTCCGACTACACTGGTCCCTGCCGCATTCCATCTTCATTTGATCCGCTAACTCTAGCACTCTCTATTCTAACTCTATTTATCTATTGGTTTTCTTTTTTTTTTATTAAAAAAAACACTTGACCCTCTTACACTCGATTCTATTTCTATCCTAACTACTTGTTTTATTTTTATTTATTAAAAAATGACCCTCTAACACTAGCATTCTCTCTTTTTTTTTTACTAGTTTTATTTTAATTTTAAAAAGACCCTCTAACACGAGCGTTCCATATTCTTTTTTCCCCCTATTCTATCTACTTGTTTTATTTTTATTTATTTTATTAAAAAAAAAAAAAACCTTGTCATAGCACTTGGATATTATTGCAGGTTATTTAGTGAGTCAGATTCCTCATCAAATGCACAAGGAAAAAGTATTAGAGAGTTTTGAGTCGTTCGCTACTCACTGATTTGTGTCGTCTTTTCTTTCCCTTCTTCTTGTGTTTCTTAGATTTCTTGCAACTCCTCTCTGTAAAGATCAAGATCAGATGATCATTGAGAGACTGCTGTTAAACGGTCATGATGTATTCAGTATTGATGTGTTGTGCAGGACACTGATATCGATCCTAAACGTCACTGACCAGATTCCCCAGAGGACGAGTGCTCGGATGGAGATTTAGAAGCTGAGCGTTTCTTCTTCTTCGAGTGATACTCATCATCCTCTGACTCCGAGCCCTTCCGTGAACAAACACACAGGACACAGTTTAGGAGGATGAGTGAGAGTGAGTCTTGAGTAAATGCATACCTCAAATCCCCAGTTATAAACATGAGCCGCGTCCAAAAGGTAAAGGGGGAGGTGTTGCTACAATATTTTCAGTATTTCTCAGAGGGCGGGCTTCAAGTATAACTCGTTTGAAGTAATGGTGCTTAATATAACATTATACAGAGAAACAAGTGTTAATGATAAATCCCCTATGATGTTTGTACTGGCTACTGTATACAGGCCACCAGGGCACCATACAGGCTTTATTAAAGAATTTGCTGATTTTCTATCAGAGTTAGTGCTGGCTGCAGATAAAGTCTTAATTGTTGGTGATTTTAATATCCATGTTGATAATGATAAAAATGCATTGGGATTAGCATTCATAGACATTCTGAACTCCATTGGGTCAGTGTCAG